ATTTATTTGGTATAGCCATGTGAGCCATTCGGCTCTTGAAGTCGGGTGCCACCGCAGCAAACAAAAAAACATGAACAAGAAAACATCTTAAAGTGACTATGTGCAAACAGAAAAATCCAGGAAAAAACTGCATAGTCGTCCAGAAGTTCAACGTACATATACGCCCGCACGTATAAAATGCTCATCAATTGGCTGAAAACAACTTCATATGTAGAGGACCCCAGAGCTCGATACAATTGTTGGTTGCGCCCGGCTCCCTGCCTGGCTGCGGCTGCCGTCTCGCTCGTCTGCGGTTCCTCCGAGGCTCCCGATTCGATTCTTTCTCGTTGAGAGCCGGCGAATGGTGCACGGGGCGGTGGTGGCGCAGAGTGACAAGTTAAAACGATAATAATTATTAAGCAACATGGACACAGAGAACTTCTACGTCCTGTGAATGCCACCACTGCCAACCAGTCTGTGGTCATCCTCGTAACAAGAGCCGTTTTTAAAGCTCCACGAGGCTTTTCCCCAGCTGAGGCCCACTCAACCAAATGTATGGCAGTTCGATACTCTGAACGCGTGATGTGGATTCTAAATGCGGGAGGGAAAAACTGGAGGGCCCGGAGAAACATCCACGCGACCACGGGGAGAACATGCAAGTTCAAAGTAAAAGATCCCCCATATAGCCTTAACAGACTGTAGGGGCAAGTGCTGTTAGCGAGCACCTATGAAAGCCAAAACGGCACACGAGGAGGTGGGTGGCCAACACCACTGCCCGGCCACCTTTGTTTCCCTAGTGATGTTTACACACCACCGCAGGTACTCATTTGAGGCAGAGTCGACCTAGAGGAGCCCCAGTTCAATTAATCGTCACCGGTGTCGGCCGCGAGCGGGAATCGAACCCGGGTTGCCGGGTTCGTCGCGCGAACCGTTACACCACCGCTCCCCACAAAGGGTCGGGATCGAACCCGTGACTCCTGCACACCAGGCGAGGGGGGGTAGTCAACATCTCGCCACCGTGGTGCCCCCCAAGGAAAGTAAACGGACGCGCGGCGGCCTCTGTGGGGGTTGACCCTGCGCGGTGTGCCACATGTCAGCTCTTTGTAGAGTGACGCAGGATTTCCTCCTCGCCTGGGCAAATAAGCATTCCTTCCAAATACTGGGTTGATGGGAATAAGGGGGGAGGGGTGATTACATCGGTCGTTATTTGACACTCCACCGTCTCTGCATATTTCGGTTGCAATTACTAACAACCATTCAATACCACGATATGGACGGGTGAGCACCAACTTTACAAAAATAATCTCGGCGACCCGGAGGTTCAGTGGCGAGTGACGAGCTGCTGATGCTGATATACTTGGGTTCGAACCGAGGCAGCCGGACGTGATTCAGAATCTTTGTTCGTATGTATGTTGAAATTCTTTCGCACCGTACGTAGCCAACCGTGCTAAATCGTAGGTATCCGATGAGCTATAAAATCTATTTTTCACAGATGTCCAGTAGGGACAGGTTAGAAAGTTACGATACAAAAAAAAAAAACACGATAGGAGTGCAGGAAAGGTTATTTAAAAAAAAAAAAAATCACAAAAAAATATACAAATAAATTATTTCTATTTTACCAACTAAGGCTCACTGGAGCTACACAGCTCTTTTTCAGAAGCGACCTGGCCACAAACGATAGCTCAACGAATTGGCTTAATCACATATGAAATTTATAGCACCCAAAAACTCCGAATGGATGTCGATTCTAAACGTGGAGGGAAAAACCGGAGGTGCCCGGGAGAAAAATCCACACAACCCACGGTGAGAGAGACACGCACACACTCCAAATATACAACCAGGCGTCAGGGTTGGGATGAAACCCCCCGACCTCCCGCATACCAGGCGAGGAAGTTAACATCTCCCAGCCACCGTGGGATGTAAAGCGCAGTGAGTTGATGTCTCGGCACGGTCATAAATGACTCCACAAACAAAGGATCGTACGAAATTCGGGTCTGCACTTGCTTCAGCTATGAGACTTAACAACAAATAACATTTCAATCGATTTTAAGGGTCAGATTTCTGCCCGAGTAAAAGAAAAAAATTACAATTGTGTCATATACCCTCCTCCACCCGACAGTCAAAATTTTAATCAATTTGTCACGCGATCCTTTGGGCGGTACCCCGGGGTACGAAATAATACAAAATGGCCAAGGAAATAAAATATTTTATTTCTGGGACACTTTTTTTTCCCAGGGGTGGACTTAAACTCCGCGACTGCGGTATCAATTAATCCAAAATCAGTGCCACTCCGCGATGTCGAAACGCAGCGAGGACGATTGCGACGAAACCCTGAACGCTCGTACGCACCGTAGTGGTGCATTGTGCACAGCTCGTCGAGATGAGTCGATTGCCGCATCGCCGACTATCAACAGACTAAACATGACTGCATCACGGACATTATGCGCGAGCTGGTGTACTATGGTACCCCGGGGTACCGCCATAAGGTTCACGTGAACAGACGTTGCCGATTTATTACCGCTTCGGAAGCACACCACCGGTAGTGCCGGAGAGCGACCCCACCCACATTGGGTACGGACGCTTTGTTGGTAGCTGTAACCAACATCGTCTGGCAATTACCAGAATTGTGAAAATCTCCTCCAGTCTCGGGGGCCTTAAGTAGCGCGGTGTCACGAGACATGCCCCCACAGGTGACGTACCAGAAAGCTGAACTTCGTTACTTTATTTTTTTATATTTGACATCTTCTAGATTTGAAGCTTTCGTGACTGCAAGGATTCACACTCTCAGTTCTTTCGATAAAGTCACGTAGGCAAAACATGAAATTAAAATTAATAAAAATAAAACAATAAAATCACGACGTTTCGGAGGCAACACAAGTCTCCGTCATCAGGTGGGACCGTCACAGCCAGATTTGCTGCATCAAGTGAGGCAGGGATTCAAGATGCAAGTTCTAAAATACAAGTTGTGGGGGGAGGAGAGGGGAGCTTATCAGAATGTGGTAGCCAATGAACCACATTCTGATAAGCTCCCCCGCCTCAACTTGTATTTAAGAGCTTGCATCTTGAATCCTTGCCTCACTTGATGCAGCTAATCTGGCTGTGACGGTCCCACCTGACGACGGAGACTTGTGTTGCCTCTGAAACGTCGTGATTTTATCGTTTCATTTTTATTAATTTTAATTTCATTTTTTACCTACGTGACTTTACCGAAAGAACTAAGAGTATTTGACATCTTGTCCACCGACACAGGAGCAAGAGTTAGTCTGCTCGCCAAGTCACCCGGCCGCACAGCTCGATGGGCGATTTCCTCGGAGAGTAAACTCCCGATCGATTCCGTTGCCTCGCCGCACCCACACTTCCTTCGAGCGCAAAGAATCGCCGGGGCTCCTCCGCTCCAATCCTCCGACAAACGTCAACTCCCTCGGCGTCACCCTCGCCTCCGCCTCATCCTCCCGACGGCTTTTCGCCAAACCGCGTCGTCGGATCTCGCGACTCCCAACCCTCGGAGGGAAGCCCTTCCCCGTCATTTACGTCCACTCATCGCCGCCGAATAAAAATCGGCAACGCCCTCGAACCCGCCGGCGGCAACCGCGTCTCTCGCCTCGGCCACGGAGACTCCGTCCTTGTTGGATCTTCATCGAGTGACCTCCGAGAAAACCCAACGGTTGTAAAGCCACCATCTTGCCCGTGTCGCCCTCGCCACCTGTGATGCCACCATCTTGCCTGTGAAGCCACCATTTTGCCCGTGTCGCCCTCGCCACCTGTGAAGCCACCATCTTGCCTGTGAAGCCACCATTTTGCCCGTGTCGCCCTCGCCACCTGTGATGCCACCATCTTGCCTGTGAAGCCACCATTTTGCCCGTGTCGCCCTCGCCACCTGTGACGCCACCATCTTGCCTGTGAAGCCACCATTTTGCCCGTGTCGCCCTCGCCACCTGTGATGCCACCATCTTGCCTGTGAAGCCACCATTTTGCCCGTGTCGCCCTCGCCACCTGTGACGCCACCATCTTGCCTGTGAAGCCACCATTTTGCCCATGTCGCCCTCGCCACCTGTGAAGCCACCATCTTGCCAATGTCGCCCTCGCCACCTGTAATCCTATAGACTACAGGTTTGAAAACTAATTTCTTTAGAGCTGCTTCTTGTGTTTAGTTTGTTGCCCTTTACCCCCCAACGCGCCTCTTTGATTAGCATGGTCTGCTACGTACGGTGCAAAAGAAGTTCAACGTACATACAATCCGACCCAAATATCAATTATGAATAATTATGGTCGCGCAAAGCCTACGTGTTAAATTTAAACAAAAATTATATTCGTCGACCGTCGGACCTAAAGTGCCAGAAAGTAAGGCTCACATTTCGAATCAACGTCGTTTAGAGTATTTGGCTGCTATAAATTTCGACGTGATAAGCCACTTCGTTGAGCTATCATGTGATAGCCAGGTCGCTTCTGAAACAGAGCTACATAGCTCAGTGGGGCCTTACCTGGTAAGATGTGAATAGTTTCGTTTTCGTAGTTCAATTTATACTTCTCAGAACCAAAGTGAAAAATCTCTCCAGTAGCCGTTCTCCGACGCACAATGTACAGACTGCTCCATGAGATTTCCAAATGGATTCTTCAGCTGATCATTCTTCATCGCGACAAAACCACAACATCCGCCACCCGGCTCAAGGCAGTGTACAACCGGCAGGCCCTGCGGTGTTGCTAGGAGACTTGAGAAGAGCTCTTACTCGTTAGCTTATTACCCGCCGCAAAAAAACCCAATAATCAGAGGGCCCTATTTTTTCCCAAATATTCGCGAGGAGCTGCAGATTTCTCTAGATCGATGCGGAACAACTTCCAATGACGCCCACAATCCCATAGAGGGACGGGTGTAGAACATCAACGCGACAAGACACAGGCGAGTCGGGGAGAGGAGAGGGACCTAGAGCGGGCTCTCGACCCGGAAGCGTCAAGAGTGCGGTTCGTTTAGGTTGTTGAAAAAAAAATGGATCCGGATAACGGAACCTCTCGCGTGTACGTACCCGTACGTCTCTCGGACCGTTCCTTCGCGCGCTCTTCTTGGTCGCCCAAGTGCCGCGCCCTAGAGCTGCCGCGTACGTGGGCTGCGTTGGACGTTGGCGGTTTCACTTGTTTTTTTCGATCTGCTCAAAAATAGAGAGCGCGCTTTTTGCCCGCTTTGGACACGCAACCTTCCCCCGACGCGCCACAGTCATCCGCAAAACGCAGCCGCTGGTCGCCCTTAATCCGATTACACAGCCTTTGCGGAAGAAGGCTTAAATAGCTTATAACAATTCCACACTCCCAAGTGCACAAACTGAATGGGTCGCATGAAAAGTGCAACGCTTTCCTAAAAAACGAAATCCCCTTTAACACAAAACCAGCATCTTAATCTCACGTACAGTACATACACACACGGTACAGTATCAAATCACTCGGCCGTCCTAGTCTGACAAACTGCTGACTTGAACACGTGAGGAGCAGAGCACAGCATTCGTCTGCAGCACGTTGAATGAGATGTTCTTGCCAGCGTCCTTGGCACATCGGACCACGCGTCAAGCCTGAAAAATGTAATACCTGCGTGGCGATGTGCGGCCTGGAAATAATTTCCCCGACCGCAGATACAAAAAAAAATGCCGCTCTCCCGGGACCGATAAATTTGCCTGCCGCTTGCGACACGGTGGGGATTCGTTTCCGTTTCATCCACGACTCAGAACTCCGAGGAAAAACTGCTCTGAACAGCGCTCCCCCGTCATCATCCCCTTTCCCTCCCCGCGGTCCCCATCCATTTCACCCATTTCGCTCATTCATCAATCACTTGCAGTCAGCGAAGGACCGTTGCCCGCTGCGCAAAACGAGTGACCCACCTGCCTAATTGTTTTGGTTATTTTCTTTGAACCTATCTAACGTGACTTTACCGAACGACCAAAAGAATACCTACCTCCTGTTCCACCATGGGACCTTAGACGGTATAAAAATATTGAAAGGGTAAACACCCAATTCTTCTACCTCCTGCAGCGGCGACAGCGTTCGCGTAAACCGCTCTTGGCTGCCGTACACCCGGTGGCTCTCGAGTGATTTGCTCGATCCACAGATCACGGAGGGGGGAGGGGAGGGAGCGAGGGAAGGGGGGTGTGGGGGGCGCCATTCCTCCACCACCCGACAGAGCCAAACAAATAAGAGTTGTCACGTGGAGGGTGCAAAGCTCTAACCGACGTTACACTCGCTGGCGATGTCTTGGTGCAGTGCGGTGTAGTGGTGCCGCGGTGCAGCGTATTGGTGGCGTCGTTGGTGTAGTGTCGTGGCGTAGTGTCGTGGCGTAGTGTCGTGGCGTAGTGTCGTGGCGTAGTGCCGTGGCGTAGTGCCGTGGCGTAGTGCCGTGGCGTAGTGCCGTGGCGTAGTGCCGTGGCGTAGTGCCGTGGCGTAGTGCCGTGGCGTAGTGCCGTGGCGTAGTGCCGTGGCGTAGTGCCGTGGCGTAGTGCCGTGGCGTAGTGCCGTGGCGTAGTGCCGTGGCGCAGTGCCGTGGCGCAGTGCCGTGGCGCAGTGCCGTGGCGCAGTGCCGTGGCGCAGTGTCGTGGCGCAGTGTCGTGGCGCAGTGTCGTGGCGCAGTGTCGTGGCGCAGTGTCGTGGCGCAGTGTCGTGGCGCAGTGCCGTGGCGTAGTGCCGTGGCGTAGTGTCGTGGCGTAGTGTCGTGGCGTAGTGCCGTGGCGTAGTGCCGTGGCGTAGTGTCGTGGCGTAGTGCCGTGGCGCAGTGCCGTGGCGCAGTGTCGTGGCGCAGTGCCGTGGCGTAGTGCCGTGGCGTAGTGCCGTGGCGTAGTGCCGTGGCGTAGTGCCGTGGCGTAGTGCCGTGGCGTAGTGCCGTGGCGTAGTGCTGTGGCGTAGTGCCGTGGCGTAGTGCCGTTGCGTAGTGCCGTTGGTGTAGTGTCGTGGTGTAGTGTAGCAGTGGAGTGCAGTGCTGCGGCATAGTGCGGTGACTGAAGCGCGCGCATTTTTCTGCAGCGAGTTGTTGCTCATCGAGACGGCCGACGTGAACGTGAACCTCGTAACACCGTTCATAACCTGCCCATGTTTAAGGAGGAAAGCCTACCCAGAAGGCACCCCCCCCCCCCAAGCTGAAGTTACCCCGTGTCTACACACGCCCTCTGAAGTGATCGTTAACGTTGGTTACATTTTTCAAACAACAACCTAACAACCTCCCGTCATCCGCTATTATCGAAGCGCCTCTCGCTAGATAGAGGCCGCAGCCCTAGGAGCCGGTGCCGCAGAGAACCTGGGTACGAATCCAGACAGCCGTCCGCCCGCGACTAGTAATGTCCCTACACCAACGTTCAACTTCTTTCGCACCGTACGTAGCCTGACCGTCGCGAAAAATCTGAGGTGCGACTATCAATGGTTCTTCCGAGCGAGATTTGGGGGGGGGGTCAGCCCAGTCAATGACTATCGGAAAAATAAAACCATCACACGAAACGTGCCAGCAATCCCCACTACGCTGACGAGACATCAAATACGTTGTTCCGTTTAGTTTTGCGTTGTCCTTTCCCCCTGCCGGCACCTCCGATTAGCACGGCTGGCTACGTACGGTGCGAAAGAAGTTCAACGCACAAAACGAATGTCCAAAAACCGGTCCAGGAGGTTTTTACTCGTCTCGTAACATTGCTGCCGAAAGGATTCGTGCCCAGAAAGCCGCGCAGCCGATGGGATGTGTAACAAATACAGTACTATATATATTACGTGGAGAGACTAGACATGCGAGGAGACATTGCTTATAGAGTGTTATTTATAGTCTCAACAACAATGCCAATGATGATTTCGAGTTGTCACGTAAGATGAAGCTCTGCGGTTAAATTTAGACATTTTTAAACCGATATGTTTACTCCGCGCGGGAGATTGTGTCCACGTGACAAACATTAATCTCAGGGGCAGAGGTCACTGAAAAGAATTTCAGAGGTAGCTCTGTCCTGACCTCCAACACCGAGGATTGCATTGATCTTCAAGAGCCCCGTACGAATTCTTCGCCAGACTGTCGGCACGGGCCTTGTTTGCGAGCAACTATTAAGGCCGGCACGGCACACGAGGAGATAGGTAGCAGGCCCCACGCCCCAGCCGCCTTTGACTCCCGAATACTCACCGCAGCACGTGCTCACCGCAGCAGAGTCAACATAGAGATGGGTTTAAACATGTCACCGATGATAAACTGAAACTAAACTAAACTTTTTTTTTCTTTGACCAGGTAAGGTCCCACTTGAGCTGCGTAGCGCTTTTTCAGAAGCGACCTGGCCGCAACCGATAGCTCAACGAAGTTGGCTTATCACGTGGAAATCTATAACAAGCCAAATAATCTAAAATGCAAGTTCATAAATACGGAGGCAAAAGCCAGAGGAGCCAGAGAAAAATCCACGCGACCACGGGGAGAATAATACAGCAGGCGTCAGGGTCGGGATGGAAGCCACGGCCTCCTGCATACCGGGCGAGGGAGTTAACATCTCCTAGCCACCGTGATGATGATGAGAGATGAAGAAAGAGACACGCAAACTCCAAATATACAGCGGGCGTCAGGGTCGGGATCGAAGCCACGGCCTCCTGCATACCGGGCGAGGGAGTTAGCATCTCCTAGCCACCGCAGTGTTGATGATGTCTGCGAGGGGCAATAAAACTCGGCTCGCCAGATTCCTAGCGCAGTGCGCCAACCGCTCTCTACACCTCCCTGTAAGGCCATTACAAGACTTTTGGGGCAAGCGCTGTTAGCGCGTAGAACCTATGATGACCGGCATGGCACACGAGGGGGTATGTGGCCGGCACTTCCCCCTGACGCCTTTGTCTCCCCGGTGGCGATGTTTACACACTGGCCCAGCCAGAGCCGTCTCTAGGGTATGGGCGAATCGAGGGGCGACCACCCTGGGCCCCGTTGCTTTGGGGGTGGGGGTCCCCCTGTGATGTAATACTTCAAGGCATCAGGTGGTGGGAGGGGGGGGGGGGACCACACGGTGGGATTTGCCCAGGGGCTCCTGCACCCCCACCCTCACCATGGATGCGCCCTGGCTCCAGGTACACATTTAAAGCCGAGTCAACCTAGGGGAAAACCCAGGCTCAGATATTCGCCACTGCTAATCGGTCACGAGCGGAAATGGAACTCGCGTGGCTGCGTTCGTAGCGCAGTGTGCCAATCACTGTGCCACCGTTCCCCCCACACTCACCAGCGAGTCAGATACAACTTTGCCAATTGTGCCTTTCAGCCCCTTGAGAGTAGACGAGCAAGCTGCCCTACTTAATTGAAAGTAAATTACCCAAGTTATTTATTAAAATCGGGTGCATCATTAATTGCCAAACTATTAGGTTGAGAACATATTAACAGGTTTCACTATCAAGCGGGCCTCAAATTCACATTGTACAGGTCAAAGCACGCAAATTCGCATTAATCCTCTCGCAACTTTACGCCGAAATGTGCGCAAACTCAACCACGGGACGAGGGAGTGGTACCGTCAGCGGTTAGGGCGCCGTGCTACGAAGAACCCAGCGACCCGAGTAATCTGCGTTGAAAAAAAAAAATGCGCACGTGCGAGCATTAATTGCGCGCAATGCAGATTTTAGGAGGAAACAAAATAAACCCACCGCCGGTTTACGGGATGCGGCAAAGTGGTGCAGTGCGGTGTCGTTTCACACGCAGGGATCGCGACCGATATATTACAATTCACAACCGGTGTCTGTCGGGGGATCGGATCGTGTGGGTATAAATGCGTGTTGTAGCTGCGAACCCTCCACCACCCGACCGAGCCAAACAGAGTGATCACGTGAAGGGTGCCGTAGTTCGGATGGACATTACACCCACCTCGCTGGTGCAGTGTAGCGGTGCAGCGTATTGGTGGTGTCGTTCAGCAGTGTAGAGTAGTGGTGTAGTGTAGCGGTGCGGTGTAAGTGGTGCGGAATGGTGCAATGGTGAAGTGTAGTGCTGTGATGCAGCAGTGATTTGATTCCACTGTGTAACAATTTCATTTTTATTTTTTGTTGCTGGGTAGCAAGTGTTATTTTCCAATTGTTTATGCCTCAAAAGTACAGAAAGTTGCTATTATTCCCCACAAACTTTGCTTTTGTGATATTTTGAAATGTACCTAATTTTCAAATGAGAAAATGTGGTGTGCATTTGTGT